GTGAAATCTACGTCTTTTAATCTAAAACTACGTGTTGGAGTCTTTCTTTTATGTACTGCGTTATGACGTTTTGTGAAAAATCTGTACGTGATGGAGAAACATGGATATCAATTTCGGATTCAGCGTACAGGAATTACTGCAGAACACGTAAATATTTCAAGACAATAAAACCATCACAGGCCTGTGATATTAAGCCTTATCTGGCACGATGACGTTACCATCTTGTTTACAACTGTGAAAACCTGATGAATGGAAATCACGTAAAAATACATAAAGACGCCTAAAGCAAACACTTATTTTACTGTTCTCTATTTTTATGGGTTGGGTTGAAATATCGCCCACCTTCTCCTATTATTACCCGTGAGCCTCAGGCGCTACTGGTAAACATCAATTTACCAGTCACTTGAAATAACAAAAATCTAAAAAGTGATAACTTTATGTAAAGAACTAGGGTTAAGTTCGAATACATTAAAACCTTCATATAATGAAGCTTATAAACACGACGGGTATCGAAACCCGGTTTCTAGCGTTGTAAGTCCGCAGACATACCACTGTGCCATACCTTAGCATCAGCGTCAATGATGTATGCCTTTTTCGACGATGATCGACTTTCAGTGTTATCTGGAGCTTGCACATTGTTTAGTGGCATATCTATATTCAGTGTGGAAATTAACAATATCTGAAACTTACACACTACACACTGGCATATCTATATTTCATTGTGAATATTTTCATCATCTGAAACTTGCACACTTTCCATGGCATATTTATATTTCAGTGTGAAAATTTACAATATTTGCAGCTTGCACACTGTACACACATTGATATGCCTATATTCCAGTGTGAAAAATTACAATATCCGGAACTTACACATTGTCCACTGGCATATCTATATTTCAGTGTGAAAACTTACATTATCTGGAGGTTGCACATTGTACACACATTGGTATATCTGTATTCCAATGTGAAAAATAACAATATCCGGAGCTTGCACACTTCTACTCGTGTATTTATATTCAGTGTGAAAATGTACAATATCTGGAGCTTGCACATTGTCCACTGGCATATCTATATTTCAGTGTGAAAATGTACAATATCCGGAGTTTGCACATTGTCCACTGGCGTATCTATATTTCAGTGTGAAAACGTACATTATCTGGAGCTTGCACACTGTACACACACCGGCATACCTGTATTTCAGTGTGAAAATTTAAAAGATTTACATTAATCATCAGATCACGTTTCCAGTGCCATCTATTAAACAAAACTGTATGGTCCTAAAAAGAAAATCTCAATAGTTGATTATTTAAACATTTTAGCTAACCGAACACGTTGACTATCCGTCACAGAATAACTCTTACACGTGACATATTCTCGAATAGTCTAATTGAAGTGATATTTATGATTTTTTTACTTGAATTACTATTTCTTTTGTCTCCAGTTTAGCGACTTAC